ATAATATATAAATACTATAATTTATATATAAAATATAATTATATATTATATATATATAATATGATATAAATATAATTATCTATATAAATATATTATTATATCAATATATATATATTATAATATATCATTAAACAATAAAATATCATATAAATATATACTATATTAAAATATATATAATATAATATTATATATAAATATATAATATATATATTATATATTATATAATATATATATATATAGAATAATATATTATATCATAATATTAAATATAATATAATATATAAATATATAGTATATATATATCAAATATAAAAATATAATATATAAATAATACAATAAATCATAATACTATAATATATAATAAATATAAAGTAAATAAAATATATATATAAATATAATACATATATATATAAATATATTAAATATATATATGTATATATATATATATGTATACTATATGTATATATATAATGTATATATATATGTATATATATATATATGTATTTTATATATATATGTATATATATATATATGTATATATATATATATGTATATATATATATATATAATGTATATTATATATGTATTTATATATATGTTAATATATGTATATATATATATGTATATATATATATGTCGTGCCGAATAAGCAGAACTTGCGATCTTGGCTTAAATAGCAAAGCTCATATTGCCATATAGAACAAGTGAAAATTTGTGTATGCAATAATTTCTCCAAAATCATTTTGAACCAAATGAAAAAAGTATATTTGATTGTGTTTGTTTAGTACTAAATTATTGTAAACGTATTTAAAATATATTAGTTGTGTTAGGCTAAAATAAATTGCTCTTGTTATAATAAGGTTAGGTAAGTTTTCTAAGATTTTTTTGGTGCAAAATTAAGTTTTTTTACATTAACATTAATGAAAAAAATATATCTTTAAACGTATAAGAGAAAATTTCAGAAAGGACTTAATTTTAAATGAGTTCTTTCTAATTGACCAGTTTTACATATCGGCACGACATATATATATATATATATGTATATATGTATATATATATGTATATATATATATGTATATATATGATATATATATATATATGTATATATATTATGTATATAATATATATGTATATATTATATATGGTATATATATATATGTTATAATATATATATGTAAATATATATATTATAAATAATATATATATAAATATAATGTAAATATATATATGTATATATATTATAATGTATATATATATATATATATATATATTATATATATGTATATATATATATGTATAATTATAATTTATATTAATATGTATATATATATTATGTATAATATATATATGTATAATATAATATATATATAGTATATATATATATGTATATATATATAGTATATAATATATATTATATAATATAAAGTATAATATATATATGTATAATATATATATATTATATATATATATATATATAATATATATGTATATATAATAATGTATATATATATATATGTATATATATATATGTATATATATATATAATGTATATAATATATATATATATATATATATATATATATGTATATATAAATATATGTATATATATATATATATATATATATATGTATATATATTATAATATATAATATATAGAAATATTATTAATATATATTATATATATATATATAACTATAATGTAATATATAAAATATATAAGTATAATAATTAATATATATATAATAATATATATATAAGTATATATATATATAGTATATATAATATATATATATCTAAAATATAATATATAAATATATAAATATATATTAATTAATTATATAATATATAAATTGTAATTATATAGTATATATATATAATATATATATATTAAATATATATATATAATATATATAATAATAATAGATTATAATATATGTATATATATATAAATATAAGATATATATATATATATAAATATATATAATATATATATATAATATATATATATAAACTATATATATAATATATATATACATATAAATACAAATTAAAATAATACACAAAATAAAAAACACCACATAATATATATTATATATACAACAACACTACTACATCAACATAATATACATAATTACAATACACAGACTAACCCACACCCATACACAACACCATATATAAATATACACACCAATAAACTCACAATAACCAACATACAACTACATACTACACTAACTACATACACATATAAATACATACACAGCTACTTAACAAACCAAAACCCAAGCACACCAAGGCCCAAATTACTACGTAACCGGGGGCAATGAATTTTTTTATTAAAGCATTTCACGTTAAAAACATATGCGAAGGTATTAATACATGCGAGACGGAAAGAGTGATCTATAAGAGTCTAACTGTAACTTCTCATACAAATTCAAGTACAATTACGAATTCCACAGCGCCTCTAGCATAAACTTGTGACCTGTGATCTTTTGATTGGTATGATGGCTGACCACAAACCTCACAAAAAGTTGTGGAAGCCCGACCTTGTTATCCTCCTTGCTTCTCTTAAATTAACTATCATACTCGCCTTTTTTTTTTTTTTTTTTTTTTTTTTTTTTGTCTTGGTGTTGCTTAACTGCAGTCGGTGTTCGGACTACTACCGCTTAATGGGAAACTCTTATTGCAAGGTGTTCTTTCTCTTCACTTACTGGAGAGAGAGAGAGAGAGGAGCCTCTTCGTTTATTTGAAAGTCTAGTTCAAGGGAAAGAACTGTTTCTTATATCTTTTTGCGTTAATTAAAACCTTTTTATTCATTTAATTACAAGATTGATATATGGGCTATTCACAACATTTTAATCAAAACAATTAATCTAGCATTAACAGCCCAATATAACTTGTACTGTATCACAATTAATCATAAATATTAAAAGTTATGAAATAGGAAGTGTTCTCTTCGACAGCTAGTCAAAAATTTGGTTGTTTTGAAGATTGTCCAATCAGAACCAACCTCTACAGTTATAATTGTTGCTTTTCTGTGTTCTTTCTCCTAAAATGCAAAGGAAGGAAGTTGAGCTATTTCAACATGTGGAGATGCATGAACCTATAATAAATTTTATCGCGTTTAATGTAAAGAGGCTTCCCTTAAGCATTTCGAATGACCAGTGGATTGCCTTAATGTAAACGTGTATATAAAAGCAAAATCGTTATTAGAAAAGGCTTATCTAGTATCGTTGCATCATATCACATGGCCTCTTCAACTGGAATGACTCCAAGTCTTGCAAATGGTGGTTTAAATATTTAACTTTCACGTTACTGTGAAATTATTAAGGTTTATATTAATTGGTGTTATATTGTACTTGCTAATACGTTTTTAATCATGCTCTCGAGTCATTTGGAGTAACCAAAATAAGATAAATAATATAACATCTGTCACATCAGTTCCTCCAGCTATAGCACTGTTGTCCCAGGTGGAAGCAGCTCAGACAAGTTTTTGGTCACAATCTGCCCATGGCCATGACATTTAGGATGGCCACGGATTATTATATATCACAGAAAACTTACTTATTCCTGATTTTTAAAATATGTCATTGTTTGTCAGATTAAAAACAAATTCTCTGAGCGTCAGAATATCCACTAATTTGACTTGGTATAACATTTATCACCTCTACGGTTAGAGATGAAACAGCTCTGGGGCTAAGGTAAGAGCATATATAAATAATTTTGAGACTATTTTGTTGATAATCTGAATTTTGGTTTAGCTTCAATAATTAAGATTTTTTTTCACATTAACCAGCATGAAAATAGCAGTAAGCTTATTAGTCCATACTAGGTAGGTTCATCTTACATCCACTCGTACATCCAACCAAGCAAACTGAATAAATGCCTCATAATGTGAGTCTTAGCCATATGATGACCCGCCACTGGAGCTTTTGGTGATTTGACCAGGCCTTCAGCTGCTTACCAGTCCACCCCTTTAAGTTCACTCAGTATAATTTGGTATAATATAGATGATCTATAAGAAAGATGAGTTTACCCTGACAATTAACGAATAACGCGCACAGAATGCTCATTTGACATAACCTCTTAGCTCCTGTGATTGCATTGAATTTTAGATTAATGACTTTTGTTTTCCCCCTTTGTTTAGTAAACAACGGTTGCCACATAACTTTCGATCACTAGTTCGGAGAATGCATATATATGTACATATCAAGAACAGAACTACAATTTACAGTTAGCCTACGAAACGAAAATCATACTAGATGACGTTTTGATCTAATAGCGACATTATGGTGGACCGGTTTTCATTTGCAAACTTTGGGTTGTGAATTGTTCCAGACACGGTATTGTGAATTTTATTCTTACGTGATTGAGTGGGTACGACCCCTGGGGCTAGCTGGAAACTGGCAGAGAGAATTTTTAAGATTCCAAACTTTTATTCATAAAGTTGCGGTGATAATTCATGCATAATGTTTCCTTCAGTATCCCGTATGTTTATCTTTACATACAGGTTACTTTAATATATGTATTAGGTAGTAAAGTATACTCGTTGGTAATAATTGGGAAGCGTGTAGCCATAAGCCTGGCAGCAAATAGGCCTTGTTTAAAGACCCAACTCACCTTGTTAAGGAATGAGTGGTAGGAAGATTTCTTTCGCCTCTGTTTTTCAGTTCTGATTTTCCTGTTTACAAACTTTAAGTAATAATTTTTCTTGTTTTCAACCAATTTATATTGTTTGCCTTTGTATATATGACTTGCTTATATTATGTACTTTAAACAGTGTACAATATATCAATCATTGGAAGAGACTGAATGAAGTAACTGTTTGTACTGAATAAAGGTTTTTCAAAATTTTGTATTTATTCATTATTCATGATGCTTCAGTACTTTAATAAAGAGACTTTATATATAAATATTTTGAGAAACAATGTTTTGTGTTTAGTTTCATATTCCTTATGTGGTAATGGACTTGAAACTCAACGTATTGTGTTTACTTCCAACAGTGAGAGCGAAGCCAGCGGAAGTAGCAGCCTAGTGTCTCCCATACAACAACGTCGTCGAGCTGCACACGGGCTACCCGCTCAACACCCTCATCGCCGCAGGAAGGTGAGCGCACCGCCAGAACTGCAGACACACTTAACTGGTTCTGCATCCTTCCAACTCGCTCACACCCATAACTACCCGGGCCACGGCGGTGCGAATCCCGACCACGCAGACACCTCCGGCAACTCAGAGTTCATTCTGAGCTTTCCTACACACAAACACTGTAAGCATGGTCTGGTATTTTGCAGTCTAATGATCCGAGGTCCTTCGGTATTTATTTATAAATTTAAGAGAGTGAGAAAACAAGTCCGTTATTGAGAATATATATAATACCGTTTCTAGGACAATTTATAACCTACAGATTGTAGATGAAACTAGACTTTTTCGGTCCGTCTTAGACCGTTATAAAATCACTTGCGACTTGATAAGATATGGTTCGGGTCAGATCGAAACGTCGTCTGGCTTCATCTCCAATTTATAGGTTTACTATAAATTTCGTTACAGTTGGGGGCTGTTGACTAAGTTACTTATCTTTCTACACAGTGTCGGGAGGATTCTATAGCGGCTCGGACTCAGGAGTACCGTCCGAGTATTCCTCGTGGGCGGCTCCAGTTTCTGGCGCCATACATCGTGAGGGTTCCACCCAAGACAACAGTTTAAACTTGCCCTCGAATTCTGCCGAGAACCTCACTGCCCAACGCCAGGCGAACGAACGCCAGGACGTTACTTTCTACCAGTCTGACTCCGACTGTGAGGTAAGTTTATCATTAACTAGTCAGTTTTGTGCTGATGTATGTCGCTGTTAATTGTATTACAATCCTTTCATCACCTGTGTTAAGTCATAATACGGAAGCTGGAACAATTCACAAGTAACCCATAAACTGGCAAAGATCAAACGATTTTTCAGTCCATCCGAGATCCATTCGTAGCCTGATAGTGTTGAATGAATTGTATATGCGTATCTTCTTGAGTTTTGCTCTTTTTTTGTGACTGGTAATAATAGCGACATGATGATGGTCTAGAACAGACTGAAAAGTTGTCTAGTTTCCATTTCTAATTTGTGAGTTAGTTGTAAATCTTTTTTTTTTTTTAATTTTTATTTAATTATGTATACGTTCTTTCAGAGTCTGGACGGTCTACAATCGCCCCAGGAGCGGCGTAAGTCTGGCGGTGGCGGCGTGATGAACAACCAAGGATACGTTCATATAGAACCCACGCCAGTGGTGCTCCCCGTGGGTTCTCCTCCACCTTTCACTCGTATGTCCACGGAACCTAACATGGCTTCTCCTCCTTCATCTGTTGTGGGCATGCCCATAGGTCATGGTCACTCTCGCAGACACAGCATGGTTCTTCAGCTCAACCTACAGGGTCCTCCCCCAGTGAATTCAGTGCCCCACTCCTCAAGAGGGCGATCTGTCTCCATGATTTCATTAAATGGTACTCAGGCAACGCCAAATATGTACCCCAATTTGCACGATACGCAGTCTATCTATGGTGAAGTCGGCTACGGTCCACATATAGGTTTCTCTGGTGGACATCATATGGAGTCGCAAGGCTCTCTTTCTGCTGGAGGGATGAAAGTTGTGGACAGTCAGCAAACTCTAGTTGCTAGCCACAATGATCATATTAATTCCCATCCCGAAAATCATGATCCCCACATGCCACAACCTACAGAAGAGGGGGAGAAGAAATCTAGGTTCCAGCTTACTCTAAGTAAAAATATGAGCATAATGTATGCCGTTTTCCTGGTCATGCTGGGACTTGTTATCTATCTAGCCGATACCTTCAGCGGACATGACTCGGCCATAGCAGAGGGTTTCAACGTTTACTTAATTGTAGCCCAGTTACTTTGGTTATTCTACGTTCATATAGATGTCCGACGTTACGTCAATCTCATATCAAGAGCGCTTGACGAAGCCAAGACGAAACAAGTGAACAAAGACGACCAAGTGCAGCTGGAGCCGACAGGTGATGGGCAGTACCAGCTGAGAATTAATGTACCTGAGGCGCCCCGGACCATACCTCAGTACTACGGGTTTACCTCTGGCAGACACGGCGGCTCCCTCTACCTCAAGATTGGGGCTACAGGTAATATATTTTCCACGTAAATGCGTAGCTTTATTAATCGAAAAAGTTATTCCTCCAGATAAATTTGCAAGCATTGTGTATCATAAACAATAAACAAAATAACAGTGGAAACTTGCAATGATGTATTTGTAGTAATCACTCACCAGTCTCAGGTGAGTCACAGGACTTGTTCTACACTTGATTAAGTACTGACAGCGATATTTTTTTTTTGTACAGTACAGTGTATAAATCAGCTGATAAACTTGGGGAGTGGAGTATACCACTTATGCATCAAATATTTCAAGCCAACTTAGGCATTTTAGTCAAATTACAGATTATTCTCAGTGTTCATAAATATTGTGAAATGTTGCATATCAAAATGAAAATTACGTAAACAGCCTCGTTGGGCCCAATTTTTTGTTTGATATCTCGTATATACATATCTTGGTGTTTAAAAATGAAAAACACTAAATTTATTTCCTTTTCTTTTTTGCAGTTTTCTGCTTGGGTTACTTGACTCATACTGGTCTGAACCTTGGTCAGAAGATTTTGTACCTAAGTGAAGACGACCCCATCTTTGACAACTGCACATGTACCACTGATGTTATCATGTCTGTCCTACAACCTGTCTACGCGTTTTATCAGCTTTTCTTCATCTTCAAGTACTCCAATGTAAGAAAATATTAGCTAATTAATTTAAATATCACGTGAAGATACCCAAACTAGCTTAGGAATCTGAGCTAACCTTACGCAGACTAACGTAGTGTGAAATGCTTAATTTACGTAGCTTTGTGGATTCGCATTAGTTAACTTTTTCCTCGGTAAGGTCAGAAGCGACTCTTCAGATAACTATTTAAATTATTTATATGACATTAAAACTTAAGTGTCATTACATTGTTTGAAAAATAGGTAGATCAGGAGATCATTTTTGTCATATTAATGATTTTTCATTTCTACAGCTGATTATCAACCGACGCCTAGTGCTATCAAGATTCGGTATCATGCATTGCATTGCCTCTTCCCTGTGCTTTTGGGTCTATACCATCCTTCAAGAGACACTGCAAGCAATCTTCCAGAAAAAGAACGCAGCAAAATACAGCTCAGATATTACCTACTCTGCAAAACTGGTAGCTGGTGACGAAGAAGATTCTGATGAAATGGATGATGAAGAGAATAAGTTCACCGGTACGAAGATCGGAACAACCGTTTCCTCTTCCTGGTCAATCAACTATGGCTGCGAGAAGGACACTAACCTGTCTTCCATGATCAACACCACAACTCCGTATCTCTACCCATTCAGCATCGAATTCAGCATCTTGATGGTTGGGTTGTGGATCCTCCTCTGGGAGAACATTGGCAAGTTCGAGCGCCACACACACATCCCTTCAGTTGAAGTAACTTATGAAGAAGATAACAGCAAATCTCTGACGTCCAACCTTATTATTTATGTTGACTGTCACGCCTCTAACCGTGGACTTTTCGCCGGTCTGCTCATGACAGTGGCTACAGTCATATCAATTATTCTCTTCTTCATCTTTTCGACGTCCGAAGACACAAAGCAGCTTGGATCCTACGTTAACGGCATCAGTGAAGTCGTTCTACTCTCTTGCATGTTAATTACGGCTATCATCGCATACAATTCGATCCGAATCCTGGACATCATCAGGGACAAAATCAGTAACGTGGATGACATCCTACTGTATGTGTCCCTGCCATGCATTTTTCTGTATGCCTTTTTGAGCATGGTTCCGGCCATTAATAACGGAGAGGCCCTCCTCGCTACCGTCTCCATTCTACAAGTATGTCAAGTGATTTTACAGACTGCGCTCATCTGCGACGGTTTAAGACGCTGCTCTAACGCCCAGTCCCTGCAGCACAAGAAGCCAGGACGTGAGTTCATCACCTACTTGGTTGTGGCCAACGTTGCCATGTGGCTGCTCCAGACTTTTGAGATCAAAAGTGAAGAAGGCAATTCGGCTCTGTACAAATTCTATGGCAAGGTGAGTTGTGTTGATATATAGCTTGCCAAATGCTTGGTATACAAATTCCATAAACAATTTTTGTATACTTACAAATTTGAATTGGTTGCAGATAACGAATATAATATAAAGTTAAGCTATAACGATATAATTTACATAGTGGTTCAGTAGTGGCATTATTTGTAAATGCTACACTAAAAAACTGTCACGGAAAATTACTTATCCAAATCATTCCTTTTATCAATATTTTGACACCTGGCAGAAACGAACACACATGGAAATAATAAAACAGGAGATGAGTACTGAATATTTCGATCTCGCACAAACTGTAAAGACTGATTACACAATACGGTAATAATCTGCTTTTTTGTTTCCAGATGAATTTGTTTGTGCCGTTGACCAATTATTTTTATGCAGGAATTATGACATTTGCATGCAGTGACAAGAGTTGCCAATATGATATCACTAGTAAAATAATTTAGTCAGTGAATCTTAGTGATCAGCTCCCTTTGAGCATAAGGGTCAATTCCCACTTCTGTCAGCTTAACAGTCTTACATCACAAATAAACTTTATCCCCTTTACCCTCCGAAGCTTAAGCTATTCATATATTTTTCATTAGAAATTCCAACATAGTCATTTATCACCCCTAGGTTCATTTCCGACGTAGGATGATGAACTGATCAAATGCATAATTTACTTGCACATTAAAACCAAGGACACTTTTATCTCTAACACGGACTGAACTCCGTGTATGTACACCTCGAGAAATACACATATCTCTCGGTTAGAGTATATAACAAAAAGTGTCTATCGCTCTCTGTATATATACACAAAGTTTAATAACTTTTTCGGATTACAGGTTTCTTCATTTAAGTGCACATGTGAATTGCAGCCATAATGACCCACATGTCGATAGGTTTTAATTATAACACCATAATGTGTCGCCTAAAAATTCGCCCCAAGGAAAAAATACTGAAGTTATGCAACTTCGTAGGTAAATTTAGTTGTTTTTTTTTCCTTACCCGTGAGCCGTCTCCCATCAAGGTTGGGTTACCCCCCCTCCCCCCCCAAAAAAAAGGAAAAACATTCACCATGATTCAATCAAATGTGCTGATATTACAATTCGGCCGACCCTTGGACTGCAACATCCTCGCCACTCCTTCAGAATGCAGCACTGCCCAACCCACCTCTGGGCTTCAAGTCCGGCTAACCAATTTCCCTGAATCCCTTCATGAATGTTACTTTGCTCGTACTCCAACAGCACGTCAGGCATTTTATACTACGTAAATTTACATTGCAAGGTTGATTTTGGTGCAAAATTTAAAAGCTGAATATTAAACATTTGCATAATGTTAACTGTTTTCCTCGGGGGTCGAATATTTAGGTGATTCACACAAACTAACCTCTGATTCCCATTCTTTATATTCGTTGAGAGGTGTGTAGCTCTCGCTTGACAGGTGTACAGATGACACAGTTTGAATAATCTCATGTAGTCGACAGATTTTAAACTTGATGGCGACTTTTATATATGCTTGCAAATAGTTAATGACTATGTTTTCCCCTTTCAGGAGCTGTGGACTTTACTTTCACACTTGACGTTGCCGCTGACACTCTTCTACCGCTTCCATTCATCCGTGTGTCTTGCGGACATGTGGAAGGCGGCGTATGAAATGGAGGAGTCCCACTAGACGGCTCCTTTGCTTCCCTAGATTGCTCTAGGTTCCTACATCCCACCATCACCCCTCACAGTGGGACTACTGTACGGGGTGGATGTTATACCCTGCGGCACTCCCAGTGTCGTGGAACTCATGTGTGCATCTGTACATACTCATCCCCTTCTGCACCGACGCACTCTCGTTTCACCCATGAAGACGCAATTAATAGTTTGAGAGAAGGCAGAGGTGAAACTTTGGCAGTCAGGAAGACGACTCAGAACGATGTGGTTCACGCACCATGAAGTATAATATTTAGCGAAAAGCTGAGGCCCAGCTTTGATGATGACTCGAAACGGAGTGATGAAGTGGGACAACTCTGGTTACCAATAGAATAATCAAGTGACTACAACGGAGGAAAAACAATGCTTCAAGTTGATTCCAGGAGGTGTTGAGAGCGTGTTGTGGTGAAGTAAGGGGCCTCCCAGTCACCTGCTGTATATACCGGTCCGGGTGGTGGCATACCATCCATATTGCTCATTTCCCTGTATTTATGATGCCATACACTGTAGATACTGACATCCTTGTGATACGCTGGTCAAGTCGACTTTGTCCTGGCAAACTCCGGGTGAGTAGGCATAGGTCAGGTCGACACACTATTGTGATATGTATAAACTGGAGATAAGAGTATTTAGTGCGGAGTACTTTTATTTAGCTGACGAAAGCTAGAGAGGCCTGAAGGTCGGGCATTACCTCTGTATTTTGATGTAAATGTTGTACTTAGTATGTATAATTAAGTTATAAGCTCAAGTACAAGTGATTCATTGATGAATATATATTGTGCTTATGCCAAATAAAATAATATTGATTTATAATTTCTGAGTTTTATGACATCTGAATCGTGGTTTTTTTTTTCATAAAATGAAAAGATTTTTTTGTTTTTTAAAATACTTGTTTTTACAATCCCTATTTTAGGTTCAAAGTATTCTTAACTGGTAATTAATATATAGGTGAAAGTCTCACAATTCCTAAGCAATAGATAGGCTTTAAACATAACACACTAAATCATAAGATGTTAACTTCTGAGTGTCTGTGCTCTCGAATTTATTTAGCTGTATAACCCTACGGGTTTAGCACTTCCCCCTTGATTATAATAATCGAATTTATTTAATCTCTATCCCCTCATGGGAGGTTCCATGACGCTGGTGAGGGGCTCTTGATCTAGGGAATTTGATCTGTGCTCCAGTTCCCTAAATTGAGTCTTGAATAGTTCCATAACCTCCCCCCCACAGACGCTGTATAATCCCTACGGGTTTAGCGCTCCCCCATTATATCTATATTCGGTATTATCCTTGATAGTGGTATACAGGATAAGTGTTCCCTGGAAGGGAGGTGTCATGATGTTGATGAGGGGCTCTTGATCTAGCGACTTATCCTCCCATTCCCCACACGCCATATGACCCTTACGGGTTTAGCATTTCTCCATGAATATATTAAACTAAATGCAGCTTTACTGACCCCTCGTACAATCTCTAGGTTAGAAAAGTAGCTAGAAAGTCCTGCTATAAAGTTTGATGTGATGCAGGAAGTGGCAATCACTGAGTAAATCTTTGTGAAAATTACGCTTATCTTATACTGTAAAAAAAAAAAACACTGAAATAATATTGAGGATTAGTTTTCCCAGAATGGAAAAATAAAAAAAATAACTACTAAGTATGGATCAAGTGAATTTTATAATAGGGCAGCGCTAAACCCATAGGAGTCATACAGCGCCTGGGTAATGAGGAATGGTTGCTAACCAGGCTTGATCCATGGAAGCGGAGGGTAGTTAAAATTCCTTGGATCAAGAGCATTTCACCAGTATCAAGGCACTTACCTCCCTTGAAGGGGTAAACCACCTAAAGATGATTCCTTTCTTACTGATAACATGTTGCTGAACGCATGTATATTGCCCAAATAAATTACGTTAATTAATTTCTAATGAACGAGTCAAATTTAAGATTTTCTTCCTTAATCATTTTAAAAGCACGAAAATACTCTTGCCCATTACATATATACAAACTTTTTTGTTTAGTTTACACTTGAATTTACGGGCTAAAAGCTGATATCCAACTTTATACCATTTCAAAGTTAAATCCTATCTAAGGTAAACTATCACTTCCCTTTTCTAGGATGCGGCCCACAACACTCACCCTGAGTACCCAGGGGTATTTTGTGTAAGATTTACCCATAATCTATGCTAACTGGTCCCCTCAAGGAAGGTCCCTTGATGTTGGTGAGGGGCTCTTGATTTAGGGAATTGGATCTGTGCTCCATTTCCCCGAATTAAGCCTGAATGCCTTCCACATCCCCCCCTAGGCGCTGTATAATCCTCCGGGTTTAGCGCTTCCCCCTTGATTATAATAATAATAATATGCCAACTGGTCCAAGATTGAACCCTGACTCGAACGCTAACCTCGTAGCACGGCAAGACAGTCGCTGCCTTGAGGGCAAACTGTTAGGACGTGATTTCTGTGCTTGGGTAGGTCAAAGTCATTAATACTACTGGTATAGTTACTGAAGGGAGCTGCCTCACTAGAAATATCATGTGTGTTGTTGTCCGCAGTGCTCCGATAAATTATATAGTAAGTGACGTGAATATCGACGGTGCAACAGTGAAGGGAGTGACAGGATGGACGTTATATATGGTCGCTGTTTCAAAATATCGTGACGCCGTCAACGAGGATGTGTGTGTGCGACTGGTGGATGTTTAGCTGTATGTTGGTCAAGGTGAGTGATATATCTTGCAAGGGGAAGACTTCGGCAGACCCTGTGCCATTGAGAGTGGACTGTGTTCGATCTGCATGATTATTATAATCAAGGAGGAAGCGCTAAACCCGTAGGATTATACAGCGCCTGTGAGGGGAGGAAGGTATTCTGGCTTAATTCAGGGAACTAGAGCACAGGTTCAATTCCCTAGATCAAGAGCCCCCGAGGGGACGATCTGCATGAGATGCTGTTGTTTTGAATGAGATGTTAGACGAAGCATTGAAAATGTTACCTCTCAAGGGGTATACAAGGGTTCTGCTGTGACTGACGATAAACCTGAGGCTCAGGTCAGCGATGCTACAGACTCGTGAATCAGTAGGGAAGAGGCATCCCTAGATGCTGCAGTCGAGAAAGGAGAGGTGGAGACTCCACATGTTGGGAAACAAGAGGTAGCGTCCGATGAATGAGTGGAACAAACTCCCGGGTAACGTCATGGAGGCGAGAACTTGGAGTAGCGAACTAATTTTCATGTAGGTTTGCCAGGACGGGTCCTAACCCGGGTCTTCTCCATGTGGTGACCCGGCAGTGTCTCCCGAAGGAGTGTCAGAGTTGGTATAAATGATGTATCGCTTACAGCCCTATGACAAGGGCATGGTGAGAATTCATGTCAAGTGGTGTGCCTAACATAGGCCAAAATTTCTATTTGCAGCGTTCCTTCATTTTTTAATGTGTTAAGAGGGGCACTAAGATAACTTGAAAATAAGTCTTGAGTAGAGATAGCAGGTGGTTAGGTTAGGTAATGTTTGTCAGGAAACAGGACAAGTGGTTCCTGACGCGGGTCTTAGTCATATGATGACCCACAGCTGGAGCTTTTCGTCATCCTACCGAGGCCTTCCACTGTCTTACTGGTCCACCCCTTTAAAAGTTATGGTTAGGATTATAACCATTAGTAAGTATAATATAGCAGGTGGGTTCTGTGGGTGAAAGAACGACGGTTGATCGTTAAGAAGCACAAGTTATTGGAGGTGGCTTCCCCGCAAGTCGTTGTGGGCTGTGGGAAAAGATAAAAGTAGTTAAAGGAGGAATCTTACAATTGCTAAGTCATAGGTTCCTGACCTTAAACGCTAATGGACATTGTGTTAACAAAGTAAGTCTGGTTAGCAAGTATGCTCAGCAGATACAAGACAGAGGTGGCGGGTTTGCAAGAGCGCTTTTCAAGGAAGGTTCCTTGATAATGATAATAAGATATCTGAAACCTTGAAGTTGTATCCACATTTTACATCGACTAGATGAGCAAAGTGTCTTTATGGAGATTGCATCCTATCTATGACGCTGGTGAAGGGCTCTTGATCTAGGAGATGGATCTGTGCTCCGGTTCCTTGAATTGAGCCTGAATACCTTCCATCTCCCCACAGGCGCTGTATAATCCCGCGGGGTTAGCGCTCCCCCATGATTATAATAATATCATGAGCAATGTGTGTTTTTATTTCTTTAGTGGTAATGAGAAAACAATTTTTTGATATTGTTTTCCTTACTGCACTGTGTACGACAGCTGTGTAAAGTAATTGTAAAATATGAAATGACTAATATTCATTTTTAGCAATCTGATAATGCCCAGTGGGGTCTAACACAGACCCATAGTGACCTTTGTAATTTTTTTTTTTTTTTTTTTTTTATTCTACCGGTCACAAGATGAGTTACGGGTGCAAGTTAACTTTTAGTTAGTTTAATATGTTTATTATGCACCCCATACCCACCTTGGGGCTTTGGGCTTTAGTCAAAAGTTATCAGAGGTCCATAATTGGGGCCAGGATGGACTCCAAAGTTTGTGATAGCTGAGCAGTTATCGAGAGGTAACATTGAACTCAAATTTACAAAAGGTAATGAACCACAATTTACAAAGGTAATGAACACACAATTTACAAAGGTAATGAACTCCAGGTAAGTCTGGTCACAATCATGACAATTACAAAGGTATTACAGATTACAGAGGTAAAGTAAGGGTCCAGGGAAATGGGTCCCCCAAAGCTTTGATAGCTGAACTAGGTACAAAGGTAATGAGCTCCAAGTTACAAAGGTAATGAATCTGTAGAATGTTACTTACGGTTAATACATGGCTACAATCATGAAAAAATTATAGAGTAATGACAATTTCACACTTTTCTACACCCGTCCAACTGTAATGATATTGTCAAATATTGATTGTTGAGTCACACACTCACATCTACACACACACACACTACACACACATACATCACACAACACACACAACATCACACACTACACACACACCACACTTTAGTTTTAAAATCTTTATGCACCCCATACCCATCTGTGGGCGGTAGTCAAAAGATTACAAAGGTACATAATGGGTCCAGTGACTGGACCCCAAAGTTATGATAGCTGAACTAGTTACAAAGGTAATGAACTCCAGGTAGATCTGGTCACTAATCATGGCAAGTTACAGAGGTAATGAATCAGCTTCACTCCTATACATGGTTACAGTCATGAACAAATTACAAAGTAATGAACCACTGATCAAGTTAACTAAGCAGGTCATGTGTCACGACTAAAAACAAAAGCTGTTGAAGAATGAGATACTTGTGCAACATTTGGGGATCTTTATTTTGGAAACTTTTCGCCAGCCAATGGCTTCTTCAGGCCCATACAGAGAAGAACGGTGGAAGATGAGTTTTAAGTAATCAGTCCCTTCAGCCTGGAGTCGATGTCTTTAGTCTATCAATCTTGAGAAAAGTACAGCATTTGCGTGGAGATGTGGCATAGATATAACACTGCAGAAAGGTTAGTTGAAGAAACCTCTCGCCAGAGGCGTCGTGCGGGGGGGGGGGGGCGGGCCTCCCCGGGTGACACTATTTAGGGGGTGACACCATAGAGCCTCTAAAGAAGGTGACACTAATGCCCAACACAGTGCTGCACCAACATGAGAGAAGAATCCTTCATTTCTAAATAGCCTATTATGTATTAACAAAGTACAAATAAGCCTATATAGGGAAAATCATTGATTTTGATGATGAGATAAGTGATTTTTGCATAACTGAAGGCAAGGAAATGTAAGATCAGATTCACTGAGATGTTACCTGTACTCAAGGTCAG